CCCCAAAACCCCAAAACCCCAAAACCCCAAAACCCCAAAACCCCTTTTCCACCTTTTAACAAAATATTAATTTTCGCTGCTGAATTAAGGGGCTTTTTTGGTAGTGAGCAGGCGGCTGATTATTATGAGGTTTTGGTCTTGGAGAGGGAGGGGTCTTTTGGGTAAGCGGGAGGAGAGAAGGCGGGGGGTTTTGGAGGGGTGGGGCTGTATGGGGGAGGGGTGAGGGAGAGGGGGGTTGGGGAAGTGAGGTTTTGGGGAGGAGAAGTTTTGAAGTGGGTTGTGAGGTAGGGATTTAGGTACCTTTTTGGGTTTGGGGTTGAAGTGGATCCTGATGATTTTGTTGTTTATTATATTAAGTGTCTCTTCTCTCCTTTTTTTTGAGTGGGAGGTTCTTTTAGACTCTCTTACAGGCATGGAATGTCTTCTCTTTTCAAATGGGCGAGAATTTCTATCAGTGTTTCTTCCGTTATTGATATTTTTAGCTTTTGATTTCCGGCCTGTGTCTAAAGAAGTTTTGAGAAATTTAGTTTTAAATAGTTCTAAATAATAAACAAACACATGATCAAAATTATGAGGTCAAGCTCTCAAATGGCTGATATATGATCTACGATAGAATTATCTTATATTACCACTAAATCTCTTTATTGACTTTCTTATGCTTCTGTTTGGCTCTTCTGATTCGTTTCATATCCTTTGCTGCAGAGGGCAAGTTGTACATAGCAATATTGAAGCTTCTGGGAGGGTAACGGATGACCTTATCTTTTGGTTTATTTCAATAGCTTAGAGATGTACTGAGACCTCTGTATTTTTCCAAAATCAGACATCTTTATTTTCTGCCTAGTTTTAGTCTGGCTCTTGTTCTTCTTTTGAACTGTTCCTTTATGAAGTAAGTGAGAGGAGAAATTTGTTGGGTGTTAAGAAATTTTCCGTATGAGATGGTATTCTCAGGTAGGTAAATTGACCTATTTGATCCGTTAGCAGAAACCTTTAAAATTTTAACTCTTTCTTAGTCTCTAAGAAATTTTCTCTTATTCAATATGATTTTTTATTTGTCAGGAATCAATTATAAAAAGATTACCTGAATATTCATTGGAAAGTAAGCCAGAAGCTGAAATTTTACTCATCAGCTGGTGTCACTTTTGCATCTGTCTATCTCCTTTAAGAAGGGTCGATCTGGCTACAAAAACTTAAATACTATAAAATACCTGTCTTTAGAACAGCTCTCACATCTCTCAATTTTTCTATCTCCCAAATAGGCCCTTCATCTTTACTCCCTTCAGAAGAGGACGATTCAATCATCGCTATATTCAGAGTCAGCAACCTCCACCTCTAACCGAACAATCCTCCCCTACTATCTTCCCCACCCCATAACCCCCCAAACCCCCTCTCCTAACCCATCATTTGCTTCTTCATTCCAGTAATTTTATTAACTCTATTAAAATATTTCCCAAAGGGGTTTTGGGGTTTTGGGGTTTTGGGGTTTGGGGTTTTGGGG